ATATGAATATGAATATGAATATGAATATGAATATGAATATGAATATTCTCTTATTCAAGACTGAGTCGGATTAGAAATTCTAATTTCTTTGTAAAAAAGACTAGACCCTGATTCCAGGGTAAGCTGGGATACCTGGAGGACCTGGTTTCAACATGCATGGTAAACCACAGTTATCCCAGTAAAAAAGACGCTAGGACGGGTGCGGGGTCGTGGGGAGTGGAGGGATGATGGGGTCTTAACCTGGCATTTTTTGCCATAGGTAGAGCGTGTTGTAGACTGTTTGTTTTAAACCATAGGATCACTAGAACAACAAATTTATTCACAGGACCGGAAGTTAGGTATTACTTCTAGATGAAATATGGGTCTGTGCAGAAATGCTGTTGTTTTGACATGGATCCGAACAATAATAAAGTGAAAATAATTTTTTATTAAAGCTTCAAAGAGCTCAAAGTATTGAAAATCATTTTGGATAAAAAGTGTATGCCAAAAATTAAAGGTATGGATAAAAATCAGTCCAAATTCCAGTTCCGTCATGTCCATTCCATTCCTATTTTTAGCATGCGTAATTAAGTCGTGCCTGGGGTCACGCGCTTTGCAAAGAGTGTCTCACACGGGAATTTTCTAACTCGTTATTTGTGAATCGAAATTCTTTACTTAAGACGGTTAAAATCAAAGATTTTCCTCACAGTTGCTTTAATTTTAAGTCTGACCGTTTTTAGTAAAGACAAGTGAAATCTTTGACAAGATATCAAAAGGCACAACTTTACTAACTAGGCTTGAAATCACATTTCTCGAAATCGAATAACGCGATTTCTTTCCATTTCTCAGAAGGACTATTGGAATTGTAACACAACACTATGACCCCAAAAAAAGCTTTTCCCATGTCCAGAAAGGAAAGGTTTCGGTCACATGAACTAATTGCTTTGGATTGTTTACATTTCTGTTGCCCAAAAGTTCCGACGGCAATTATTTCGAAACGCTTCCATACAAATCTTCGAAACTTCGTTAACTTGAAGACAAACTAATGAACTTTAAGTTCTGTTAAACAATTTCTTAAACAAACGTCTGATTTCGCCAAAAATGGAATGTATAAAAAAATGACATGACGTCACTGTATTGCTATGGTAACTCCGATCATGATAAATTGTATATCATGTAAAACTTGAATCTATCTCTAGACATGTCATAATGATTTATTTGAAATTAGCTTATTGGCAGCAACGCATTTCCCCTTCAAACTTCGAAGGTACGCCACAAGCAAAACCCAGTCGAGCCACCTTAATCTTACAATTTTGGGGTTAACTCTTAAAGTTGTATGAAATTAAAAGCTGTTAATTGGAACAAAATTACACGCCGATTTTGGTCCTAATTCCAAAGCCTCCAAACACACACTGTTTACGAGCCCCGGGGAATGTTCACCAAAAACTAGCATTAATTATTCACTAATTATTTATTATTTGGAGGCTGTGAAAATTTCCCCAAGCTAATCATATCAACTTGTTTTAGAATCTGAAATTTTTCAATATGCTGAGTTATACCACATATAGAGTTATTTATTTAAATAGTGTGTCTGAACGATTAAGTTATCGAGGACTGAAATTATAAGTTTTAAGAATTTCTGTAAAATAGAAAATGAACCTATAAGCTCAAAATTGCATTGAAGATGTTCAAACTAGTTTAAAAACGAATATTTTAATGCAAAAATGCTGGAAAACGCGTTGCGCCTCTACAGGATACGATTAGACAGACCCTAAATAAATCGTTTTTATTTGGCGCCGTCTTATGCTCGAGATTTTCCGATTTTTCGATTTTTCTAGGCGAAACTTTTCCCCCCGAAGAAATGAAACCCACCACATTTACTTTCTCACTAATACCTAACTCTGGACCAAAAATAAAGAAAATCGATTTTTTCATTGTTTTTCACTTTAAGTGAAATTATTATCACCATATTGTCTTTAAAATATTTCCAACAAGGGATACTTACCTTAGAGGTTTGTTAATCAGACGTTCTTCAGTAAGAAACGGTTTTCGCTCTGATTCGAAGATTATACGTTTTCTTCCCACGCTTATCTGGTGGTATCTGAACTGTGATTGGATAAATATATGTAGGATTGACATGTTATCCTTGCTCAGAATAGCGATTAACTAGCATTAATTATTCACTAATTATTTATTACTTGGGAGCGCTGTAAAAAATTCTCCAAGCTAATTTTGAAAGACATTTTCAAATTTCTATTAACTTGTTTAGAATCTGAAATTTTTCAATATTCTGAGTTATACCACATATAGAATGACTTTTTTAAATTTGTGTACCGGAACAAAATTATCGAGGACTGAAATGATAGAGAGTTTGAAGGATCTCTGTGAGATTAGAAAATTAACTTATAAGCTTAAAATTGCACTGAAGATGTTCAAAACTAGTTAATATATCTATATCTATATATCTATATAAGTAGTATAGGGGATGGGGGTATCAGCGCAACTCTGATCCGAGTAATCCTCGTCTTAAGTCCGCTTGCGGGTAATACCCGTGCGACAACAGCGCAACTCCCATCCCAGTCTATATGTGAAGGCCCAGGTGTGGGGCTTGAGATCTCATGTATATATATATGAGGTGTGAAGAATGTAAGGAGTTTGTTCAAACATGTGCGTTAAGTGTCTTAATCCGCCCTTCAAGCCCACCAAACCAATCAAGTATGTTTGTTGTGGTAAGAAGATGCAGATAGAAGATGACACGTCAGCGCAATGTTACGAGTGTGGTAAGAACATTGCCAATGCCGTGCCTAGTGCCACAAGGGAGCAATATTACGCCAATGGAGGCCGTAAGAAAACACCTTATAAGAGAATAAAATACTTTAGGGACTGGATGAGTCACATTCAAGGTTATCGGCCCGTATATCTTGATGAGCAAGTAAAGAAAGAAATTACGAACGACTTAGAAGAGCCAACGCCACAAAGCTTAAGGAAGACATTGAAGAAATTAAAGTTAGGGAAATATTACAAAGGTATTCCCTACCTTTTGTCTGAAATTACCGGCGACTCTATTCCCGAGGTTTCTGAAGATACTATGAACAGAGTCGAGTGGATGTTTTGTCGGCTGGATAAGGATATTCCTTATTACCCCGACGTAATCTATGAGATATTCCACGAAATTGACCCCAACCACCCCCTGTTGGGATGGATTCCAAGGCGACCGACGCAATTATATGTGTTTCTATTATGTCATGATAACAGCTGCGAGCTTTGACCGTGGTTTCTATTTCTATAGGGTTTTTTACTTTCACGTGGCGGAAGTGGCGTACCTAGAAAGAATAATGAGTTGTAACGTGTAAAACAATAGACAACATTCCGATCATACTCCTTCGCCTTAACAACCAACAAGCTTGAAAGTAGATTTGATATTTACTTTTTGAAGGCTTCGTTGTTACGGCGCTCGGGAATGTGCTGACGTCAACGATAGCTTCAGACATTTGATTACGCATATGACCCAGACTGTCGTTCAATATGCAAATGAAATCCTGTCTCGCTTTTTTCAAAGCAAATATTTACTTAACCTCCTTTGCAGCCGTTCTTAGGGTCGTCACGCAACGTTTCTCTCCCCACAAACGTTTGTGGGGAGGGAAACGTTGCGTGACGACCCTAAGAACGGCTGCAAAGGAGGCTAATATTTACTGAGCGAGCTTTCTTTGAAGCTCCTCTTTTGCTTCTTGGAATATCTTTTTCCGTGTCTCTTCGGACAAATCTTTGACGATTGTTTTTTTATTCCTGATGTCGGACTTTAGCTTCTCATATTTCTCCTCCTCGGTCAGGATAATCGAGAATTCGACGTCGTCTATCTTTCTGTCACGCAAAGCCTTCGAAACAAGGTCAGTAATTGTATTTACTTTTGCCCTAGACAGAGCTATTGTCGTGTCGTGTTTTGATATTTTCGTGGATAATTTCTTCGTCATTCCCGCCGAAAATGCTGAAATAATACCACAAACTCCTCCAACGGCTCCCAAAGGTATTCCGATGATGGCTCCGGGTCCTGTTAGAGAGGTTGCCAGTCCTGAAGCTGCAAAAGCAACGGAGAGAGATCCTGTGGTTATGGATACCTTATGGAATAGACTCCTGACTTTGGCATATTTCTTTCTGAATTTTTCGTAGTGTTTTGTCTGTCCGTCCAAGTAAGACAGTATTAAATTTGCTTTATTCAGACGAAAGTTCTCAGCGTTTAATTCGTTAGGCACGGCAGGATACAACTGCGGAGCAGTTGGTATAACATCCATTATATAGTATGTACGACGCTTTTGGGAATGACATCGAGGAGCGGCCACATCATGACAACAGGGACTACTGAAATTGGAGGGCCTTCAGGAAAATGTTTCCGCATGCAGACCCTACTAAGTTTGAGCGCAGGTCCGATGGTATTTATTACCAAGGCTCTAGGATGTACAGCAATGAGGATTTGAAACCTACGCTGGTCGATCAGATAGACTCTCAGCTGAAGCATCCACAACATAAACCTAAGCCTGCTAAGCCCAGCTGGCCAAATGAATTATTGCTTGGTACTAGCACCTATCCGATACCTGCGGTTCCATTTGATGAACACCCAAGCTTAGACCTAACGTTGAACATGCGGATTTCTAACGACCATTCCTTTGTTGCTAAGGTGCGAGACATTTTCAAAGACGTTCCCATTGTTCATACCACCGCTAAGGAATCTCGCGAATGGTTGAGAGGTCCTAACATGCGATACTGGCCGCAGCAACTAAACTTTGCGGTTTGGTGCGCCACTAGCGGCTGCGGTGTAAGTGCGAACTTGATGAAGAATTCAATATTCATGTTTCATTTTCACTTCACGGTTAGAAGAATACTGCATGAGATGGGCGTTACTGCATTGCCAGGAGATGCTGCGTTTTATCCTAGAGATAACAAATACGATGTTCCAGCCTATGACAGACTTTGCAAGGAGTTCAGCGTTGTGGGAAAAGACTTTAGATGCGCTGCCGGTGCTAACGATGGTCTAGGTCATGTTTGGGCTTATTGGGGTATTGGCGGACACGTGCTAAGCGATAAGGAAGTTCATGCATTGCAGTTACGATGGAACACGGGTTATCATAAGGTAACGTACGACAGTAGCACCTTCTTCGAACCAAATGCTAAGACCACTAAGGTAGTTAGAGACGGACCTCTGTTCAAAGACGAGGGCGGCAAGTATGCAGGAGCTGATCCATTGATTATCAAGATTACCAACGACGAGCAAACGAAGCAATATCTTAATTTTATACCCAAAGTAGGTAAAGGAAATAAATAAAAAATAAATAAATCACTTTTTATTTAAGTGTCTAGTCGTTCTAGCGCTTTCGCACTAATTGGGGACACTTTTTTCACTCACACTAACTAGGACTAACTAGGGCCGGTCTTGCTAGGCTGAATCGTAGCATAGAAGCTTACGTGTATTGTGTTCTTGGAGCTCAGGTAAACACCCGATCTAGCATAATTGGAAATACTGGCGCCGCAGAAGAGACGCGAGCCGAAGCCTTGATCTTATTCGAAAGTTCAATCTTGGAGGGTGACATTAGCAAGGGCGTACAGCGTTACCAGCTAGCTATACAAAATTCTAAGGCAAGGTTGGACTATGCAGTAGCCCCGGGTTGTTGGTTAATGCCTAGTAATTTATCCATGAATGTCGGCTCAGGATACAACAACAAACTTCAACGAGCTACTAAGGATATGAAGTTTGGGGTGAATGACGTGAACTCTGACACTTTTGAAGGGACTCCACACTTTGTATCCCCGCCAAAAAAAGAACATGTTGACAAGCCTGTGTCCAAGCGAAAGCATGTTCCCACGTTACCGACCATACCTGAGGAATATGACCATAACTTACTAAAGGCCGGCTTAGCCGCCGCAAGCATGGGTCTGAGCTATTATATATGGCGATGAACAACCCCTACGTGGCTGGAGTAGATTGTGTCTATRCGACTTACACAGGCGAGAAATAATACACCCAAGCATCTTGGGTGGACGTCACGGGGATGTCTGTGAACTTGAACTACTCAGGAAAGAAGCTGATAATATGCAGTCTTTCTTTTGGAGCCGTTAGCGATGCAAACGTAGGATTTCGCTTCTGTGATGACAATGGAGCATTGAAGCCCATGCGCGCGAAGACAAACAACAGAGAGCACACGCATTTCTCAGTAGAGCTGCCTGACACCAGCGCCGAAAATCTCTCGGTTTGGACTTTTCACGTGGTTGCTGATTGCCATGGGAAGGTAAAGTTGCAAATACGCGTAGATGACACGGCGTCGGCGTGCATAAATAGCATAGAGGATCAAAGAGATCGACCTTATAATCACGCGACCATCAGCACTCTTACAGTGTTAAGCCTGTGAGAATCTGCGATTCTTAAATTATATGAATCCGCATTTAAGTGAAACGCATTACGTTCACTACTTAGACGCGAAGGAGTACGCAAGGCATGAGTGGTTTGATATGGGGATGTGGGTTGAAGTTGGAGGCCCTGCGTTAGTCATTTGTACCATTAGCATTAACACGGGAATGAGCGCGAACGTGGGGTTTAGGCTCGTCGATGAGAATGACGAGCCTTTGCCTCCCTATCGAACTTCCCCGAACAGCAGAAGAGCGGCCCACTTTTCGATGGAGCCAAGCAAAATTAGCGGTGAAGATCTGACGCTGGTCACGTTTCATATGGTAATTAATTGTAAATATGCTAAGTTACAAATATTTCCTGATGATGGTAGCAATGATGGGTCGACGCTGGGCAGCGCAAGGATAATTAGCATTGGCGTGGGCAGCCATATTACCGACGCGGCTTGGAGCCATAAGCCCATTTCCACTATGAGCGTGCTTCCGCTAGTCCCAAATTATCAGGGCGGCGCAAATACTATCTTTCATTATCCTTGATCCAGAACGCGGAAAGAAAGCAGCGATCCCAAAGACAGGAAGTTCTTAAAATCCAAGGCCCCTTCATCGACTTMGTTTCTTAAGAAGAACAGCCCCCACGGCAACGACTAATATCCAAACGTTGTTGTCCACGAATTTTAATAGTTCCCCGCCGGCCCTAAGTGCAAAGGAAACGACAGAACCCAGCAGCCCGGGAATGCCGGCTGCCTTTTTTCCCCCTAAATCCGTTAGTCCTTTGCCCAACTTGCTTACGCCATTGCCCGTAGCCTTAAGCGCGGACAGGATCACACCCACCACGCTTGAAATGGCAACTACGAATGCCAGCGGAATGCCATACTTCATAAGGGCTCTTTTTATCTTTTCCTTGGTGGTAAAACCTAACTCTCGCTCCAAGCCTTCTTTTTGCGTTCGCAATTCCGCGACTCTCTCCTGAAGGGTTTCTGATTCCCTTTGCGCCGCCTCCCTTTCCTCTTCGGAGCGGGACTGCTCATTAATTACCTCCTGCTGCCGCTCTATTTGCTCCTCCAGGTCTTGGATGGCCTGCCCCCTCTGCCGTATTTGCTCTTCCTTGGTGTTGATCTCCGTGCTGAGCTGCCGCCTTTCCTCCAAAGCAGCATCCAGGGCAACCTTTGACCTGCCAAGCTCCACGTCCTGGTTTGACAATTCTATCAAACGCCGGTCAAAGCTTTGCCTGGCCTGGTCTCTTTCGCGCATTAGCGTGCTAATTCGCTGCTTCAAGTCGGCCTTTTCCCTGCCGTGGGATTCAAGGAGGAGCCTATTTTGCCTCATGTACTCCTCATCCCTTTCCTCCATCGCCTCCTTTAGGTATTTGAGCTCCCTTACTGCCTCAGCACCCGCCTGCTGCCGCTGTGCCAGGCGCGTGAATGCTGCAAAGGATTCGCCGACGTCTTCTGTGTTTTCCCTTTGCCTTTCTAGCAGGTTGGCGGGTCCAAGGGCGTCCTTAATCTCTTTCGTGAGGGCATTATTGACCTACCTGTGGTCTCTTCTTTGATAGAGATCATACCATTTGTTTCTTCCCGAGTGCTTGACCTGAATCTGACCCTTATCCCCCGATCGGAGCTCAAGACAGGCCAGGTTCACGTTCGGATATCGTTCCCTCACGTTGTCGAAGATCTCCCTTTGTACTTCGGTCCTTACGCCCAAGTTCTGCAGCTTCATGTACTCCGGAATAGGTTTCCCTGGGTTCTTAGAGCGGTATTTGTCCCGCATGGCGCGCACGGCACCCCAGATCCTAGTAGGGCCGTATTTGTGGCGCATCTTCTCCCAGAAGCCCCGTGATCCTTGTC